AACAACTACAGCCACTGTTATTGAATTGTCATCAACTGATCTGCCATTACAGAAAGCAACTACGGCGGCCACCACTGCATCTCCATTGACCAAACTTCCAACACTGGAAATAATCGCCATAACTGAAGCAATTAAACTAGTGTCAATGGAAACAACTACAACCACCATCACTAAATCGCCATCAACCAGTCTGCCATCACTAGGAGCAACCACAGCAGCCACCACTGCATCTCCACCATCCAATCCTCCAGCAGTGGGAACAATCACAACAACTGAAGCACCATCAGTAGAAAAAAACATGACAACAAGGCTCTCATTAAACCAAACTGCAAAGCAACTCAGTGCAGTGTCTTCAACAACTAATATTTCTATTTCTCATTCTTCAAAAGCAGCAAATCCTGCCCAAGGGACTAATAATGTAAATCTTACAACAGCCCATAAATCATCACCTACAACATCTGCATCCTTCTCCTCAGCCACAAAACCACAGCATGGGGCACCAACAAGTTCTGGACGTTTGCCACAGGAAACATCTTCCATCTCAGTTCAGACTACTACTGCTGAGATGGCATCAACCAAATTTTCCTTCACACCTACACAGCAGTCATCTGTAACTTCCATGACGTCAACTCAGTCGTCACCTGTTGTCTCTCCCGTGAACAAAAGGAGCTCTGCAACAATGAGAACAACAAAATCCTTTTCTCAAACCCCAAAGCAGCAGAATAGAAAACCTCACCTGTCATCACAGGCAACATCTTCAATCACCAGTAAACCATCTGCCAGGGCCACACAAACTTTGGAAGCATCCACTACCAGGGATTCACTCCAAACTTCATTAATTAACAACCATCACCATATAGTAATAACACCACCTACCTACTCGAGGCAGTCTAAAGCTTTGTCATCGCCAGGCACAAGATAGGGCTTCTTCCACAGCTCTACTAGCCACACTTGAAATTTCTGTCTGCTGGTTTTATGGGACTACGCCACAGGAGAAACCAGGAAGAAGACCTTTCTCTTGGTTCTGCTCTGGCATGTCTTCCCAACACACTAAAGTAATTCCCATCTTGCAAAATGCTTTGAGCAGATAACTTGAGTGCCCAGATATAAATGGCACGAATCAGCAGCCCCCATGCCTATAAGCAGGATGGCAGTTCGCATGGATCACAAAATTGATGAATAATGTGGCCAAAAACTTCTATATTCTTTTTCCTCTCAAAATCTGGGGCTTCCCTGTGATCAATCTTTCCTGACTCCAATCTGCCAGCCCTTCGGAGTAGAATAAGGTTACAGTAAATTGACTCATTCCAGATCATTGACAGAGAATCTGAAATCTGAAGATTGGCTGATTTTTTTTTTCTAATATGTTGTCTTTTCCCCTTGATATGTAGGCTGAAGCCTGGTTTTGTTTAATTTCTTATAATTTATTTCTTTTCAAAATTATTAAAAAGTGTTTAAGCCTTACCTGTTGCATTAAAAAGTAATTCTTGTTCAATTGTACATGCCTCATTATTATTTCAGCTAACAATGATTTTGGACTATTTAACTATTTTTGTCTGATTTCAAAGGAACTAAATCATTTGCCTAGGGATAATGCAAAAATCCTTTTCCAATTTGTTGCATAGTTCTGCTGCTATCAATATGTTAATTATTAATAATTTTACTCGGCAAAATATTAAGCAGTTGATTCTTGCGCCCGAGTGACCTCATAAGCTAAGATTGAGTCTCACTTGTAGGATAGAGACAGAGGCCCTGAACTACTTGGAGTTTACAATTGAACCATAATATCATGGTACCTCACTTTTTTCTCTTGATCATATAATAAAGTTATCCTGGTAACCCTAGTCCAGTGATGGCTAACCTTTTCAGCTTGGTGTGTTGAAAATCGGGGAAAAGTGTAGCCTTCCTCGGGTCGTGTGTCACTTCAAGAAATATCAATAATTTGGTTTATGACGGACTGGGCTGGGGTGATCACACAGGGCTGTGAAACTCGTCTCCCTGGTCTCAGGGCTGCAGGTGCAGGATGTGGGGATCGGAAGGCCACCTTACAGGGCTGTGAACCTCATGGATCTCCTTTCCTCCTGTAGCGTTCCTGAGGTAATGAAACTGACCAACCTCAGTTTATGGCGGTTAAAACTGGTTCTCTGCTGCAAAGATCTTGCGGCAGCGGTGACACCACGCCTCCACGCAACAAGCAGGGAGCAGGGATTGGAGCAGAGCACAGGCAGCCTCTAAATGTGCAGGTTTTCCCCACACCAACAGGCGTGTCAGTCAAAGTGCCTTGGCATGTCACGAGTGACACGCGTGTCATAGGTTAGCCATCACTGCCTCGTCCAAAGCCAACAACAGAAATGTAAATAGTCTTGTAGCATCATTTCTTGTGCTGCAAAAGTAGCTTCCCCTGTTAAATCTCCAATGATTGCACCACAGTGTCTAAGTTCTACAAAGTGACATTCTCTGTGCAGGCAAACCTCCTCCCCTCTGATCACTAGTTAATGTCGTCCATGATAGCCAGGTCTGCCCCAAGACTTCCCATCTCAATGTTATTTATTTATTCGATTTCTATAGTCAACACAATCAATGACTCTGGATGGCTTACCATTCAAATTGTGTTTTCTGAGTCTTTATCATATTTTTATATATATGTATATGTATATGTATATGTATATGTATATGTATATGTGTATGTATGTATGTATGTATACATACACACACACATACAACCTCGGCTTCCAAAAAATATAGGAAGCACAGCAAAACTGCACTATTTTATTTGGGGGCACTATTATTTCCAGGTCAGTAGAGTGACCTTATATTGCTTCATTGCAAAGCCCTGAAAAGGAGGGTTGATAAAGGTTGTTGGTCACTGGCTCAAAGATTAGTCAGTGTCCGTCAGCCATAACAGACCTAATCAGGCAGGCATGGATATCACAGGATCATCCTTCCTCGTCTCATTGGCTGTGGACACCCAGATTGTAATTTGAACAGGTTGTAGAATCTCTTTAGCACTGCTTAGTTAAGCAGGGGGCGGGGGAGGGAGGGAGATGGAGAGAGAAGTGTATGAAAAGTCAGGCTCCATAGGTTAATCACAATATGCTTTATTAATTTCATCTTTTTTTTCTGGAGAAAATGTTACTGAATTTAGAAAAATTCAAAGGTCACGTGTAGCTTCCCCCATTAAATCTCCAGTGATCCCACCACAGTTCTACAAAGCTACTTTACACATGTATATCAAACTATAAAGTGTTTGGAAGAAAATGTCAATTTGAACATACAGTATAACATATAATAGTCTAAGAGGCCTGATCTAAGAGGTCTATGTGTGTGGTTGTGCACACATACACGCACACTTTTATATTCAGGAGGCCCTGTCTTCAATTTAAATCATAATATTAAATTAATAGTGTAAAAATAACATAGAAATTAACCAACAACCCAAAATAAAATTACCAAAAACTAGGGGGACAGAGAACATTTATTACAAGAGATCATACGTGGAATCTCAATTCATGGATTTTTTTTTAAATAAGACCCCTCTGGAATATCTTCTAGGAATATCTCCAAATACCAACTATTTGATGGGTGATCCTGGTGATCAAAAATGTTAAAAGTTTGGAGGAAAAGAGCTGAAATGAACAAGTAGTTGCGGGCTTTCCTTATATGACATAAATCACCATATAAAGTCTACAATCTAGACTACAGGGGTTAGGAATAACTTTCTAAAACGATGTTGTGAAAACCAATTTTCCCATCAACATTTCATTTTGCAGAATACTTCTGTTGTTAATGCTTCATTACTCTCATCAAGCGCAGGTATAAGTTGGGACATGTACCCTTCATTGCTGCATTCACTGATGGTAATTGCTGCTATTATCTGAACAGTTAAACATTGCTCATCTCAGAGCTTTGGCTAAGGCAACAGGGCTGGTTCCTCTTTGCTGAAAGGGTCCCTTCCTGCTTCCTTCATGCTGGAGGAACCTTAGAATCAGCTATGACAGCAAGTGGAAGAGGACAAACGGGCTGAGAAGAAAGAAAAGCATGAGTTGGACTGCAGGGCTCTCCAACCTTGGCAACCTTTAAGACTTGTGGACTTCAACTCCCAGAATTCCTCAGCCAGCTTTGCTGGCTTGGGAGTTGAAGTCCACAAGTCTTAAAGGTTGCCAAGGTTGGAGAGCCCTGAGTTGGAGGAATTACTTACTCCCAGTGTCTGCTGAATAGTTAGAAACTGTCATAACAAATTGTACTGAAAGGTTGGCAGCTGATGGCCATCCTGGATGCCATTTAGGGTTATTTTTTTTCAAGAGGACTGTCAAAAAGGGAAGGATAGAAAGGGGAGAGATCAGAGAAGGAAGACATGAAAAAAGAGACAAATCTGCAGACCTGGTAGGGAGAAGGAAAGGAATACCTGACATTCCACTGAAAGACCCCTAAGGCTGCAACCCTTTCTCTGTCATTTATCTTCTCTCCCTTCTGAACTGCTCCGTCTTCTCCATACCTTGGCCACTTCTAGTTCAGTTCTGTGCTCTTGTGACACTTCCAGCTTATCTCTCCTTTCTCATTTTTGTTAAAGAAGCCAAAGCACACCAGTTTCGGGGGGGGGGGGTGTTGTTTGACTATTAGGTCTAAAGTGTGCAGCATTGCAACTCAGGAGTCCTGGTCCTAAGGCTTAGACTTGGCTAACCCCACCAAATGCACTGCAGTTGGGGTTGGCACCTTTTCTGTGAGTGAAGGCTACAGCAAGAGATTTAAGGGGTCCTGGACAAAAAAATGTGGTGGGAGAGCCTTTTTTCCCCCCTGTTGTAGAAGAAGTACAGGAAGTCCTCAACTTACAACCATTTGTTTAATGGCCATTCCAAGTTACACTGGTACTGGAAACAATGGCTTATGACTGAATGTCTATGGAGATTCTCAGTCATCCAGGTCCTGGTTGTCCCAAAGGTGCTTTTTAGAAAGTCCAGTTGCCATGGTCACATGAACCTTCCTTAGGACTGAAGCTTCTATTTTGCAGGGCAGACTCAGGTAGCAGATTGCAGAATGGTAGATCTCGGAGTGAATCTGTGATTCTGGGAGCAACTCAATCTGCCTACCTGCTTTGCCTCATTTTGGGTAAAACTTGCTCTTTTTTCATAAAAACCAGCTGTTAAGAAATTTGAATCCCACCCCTGTGTGTTACTAATGACTGCAGTGATTCACTGAACAACTGTCGCAAGAAAAATTGTAAAATGGGGGCATTTAACGATTGTCTTGCTTAGCAAAGGAAATGTTTGGGGTCAACTGTGGTCGTAAGTCGAGGACTTACCTGTGATGGCTTTCCTTTGTTGTGCTTGCTTTCAGGACTTACATTAAGGTTTTTTTAGTATCCTGCATCAAAATAGTAGGAAACTGAGTATCAATTTTAAGTAAGTATAATCCAGAGAGATTCATCTAGAATCTGATGTCCTCCCTTGAGACTTTAAATTACTTAGCGAGGCAGATGGGGGAAAACAGGTTCTCTAGAATATTTGGTCAATATCAACTGTTTTGGATTTCCTGACTTTTTTGTCCCCCAGTTTTGGTGTGTGGAAAAGACCCTGAAAAGGGAATGGAGCAGTTAGCCCAGAGCCCTCCGAACTTGGCAACTTTAAGACTTGTGGACTTCAATCCCAGAATTCTGGGAGTTCAAGTCCACAAGTCTTAAAGTTGCCAAGTTTGGGGACCTCTGCTGTTAGCCTTTCATGCAATGAAGAAGGCAAAGCAATCTCTCTCTGCCTAAAACAGGTACCCTGCAAAGCTACCTGATATCAGGAAATAATTGACAGGTAAACAAGCAAATGTTTCCTTCCTAGGGAATTTTCCCTCTAAGGAGATTGGGAGACATTTCCTGGTTCTAGGAATGTGATCCGGATCCTATGTTCTCTTGGGGGGGGGGGATATGGGTCCCCCATGCCTGGTTTATTTTCACGTCCCATCTGCTTCTTCCCTGTTTGCGCTCCACAGCATGTTGCTAAGCACTCGGATCCCCAAGGAATGCTTTCCACGGGCACCTGCTGGCAGTGGGGATAATCACAGCCCCATCCCTTAAATCAGGAGTTCACTGCTCTCTCCTCCCCACCACTGTTGCCTCTTTCCCCTCCCCCTTGTAGGGGTTTGGGGGACCCTGGAGCCGTGGGAACTCTTCCTGCTGTGGGTGGCATGCAAACAGGATAGCAAGCGGGAGACAGAGCTAGCTTTCGCTTAGAAAGTGATTCCTAACAATAAGACCATAGGATGAAAAGAAGCATTTGCACTAGCCTGGGAAATGCGGGCAAGAGGCAGAGGGGGGGGAGGACAGCTACTCAGAAAGTGGAGGGCAAAGAGATTTTCCCACTGTGCACTGCTACTTTTTTGTTTCCAGCAGGAACTTTGTACTTGAGAGTTCCCATCAGTCTGTGCATTTCCCACGTGTTCAGATTCGGGGGAGTATGGTGGGATATTTAATCATGCAAGCTTTCTTCAGTAAGAAAAACATGGGAGATTAGGAAGGGCGGGGTGACAATGGCCGTTCAAAAAGCCACGCGCACACTGGACAGGAAATCAATCCAGATATAAAATGCACAGATTTATTTTCAGTTTGTACAATATAACTTTTTAACATGCTGTTTTTAAAAAGTGAACACAAAAAGGATGTTGGCTTTCTATACTTACAAATAAAAGTTTCAGAGGACAGCTTGCACTGACTCTTCTTAGGAAAAGTGCATATAAAGAAACTTTAAAAACTACTTAAACTACTACAGATTTATTTACTTCTTCCTAACAGGATTTCTGATGAAGACTTTTTTCCCAGCCTGATTGAAAATACTGGTGTTGAATTTAAAGCTTTTTGGTTACCTGAGCCATTGTATTTTAATTCCCAGAATTGAGTCTCTCCAGTTCAGTGCAATATGTATCATTCTGCCCAGCTGTTTCCCAGTTATCAGGTACAGAGTGGTCTTTTCCATCACTTATTGCATCATTTTAACTAGTGACAGAATCAGGGACCATCCGTATGCACACATACCCTAAGTTTTCAGTTGTGATTGCTCCCCATGCAATCTCTTTTTAATTCAGCCACCAAAAAAACTTCAATTTTCCTTAAGCTCCAGGGAAAAAGCTCTTGCTGGTTGACTATTTCTTATCCTAATTGGGCATTTTAACACCCCTCAGTTAACATTACTTTCCCCAAACAAGTACCCTTAAGGTCAGTGTTTTTCAAACTTGACTTAAGATGCATAGTCTTCAAGTGCCAGAATTCCCCAGTCAGCAAGCTGGCTGGAAAATTCTGAGAATTGGAATTTATACATCTTACAGTTGCCAAGTTTACAAAACACTGCTCTTCAGCCTGTGTTAGCCTTCTGCTCATTTGTATCTGCAGGATACTTTAACTAAACATCCATGAATCAGGACCTTCCCATTTTGTTCAGCTTGACTCTTCAGGAAAAGGAGTATCAAATTAGTTGGGTTGTTTTGATCAACTGGATCATCTCTGGTTTCCTCTTAATCCTTGCAGCAAGATGAACAGCAAACAAATTTAATAGCAATAACAACAACAATAATAATAATAAATAAGTTTGGATAATAGGCATGACAGTAGCTAAAAACAGCAAAATAGACAAGAAAGAATCGGAGAAGGTAACAAAATACAAAGACATTCAAATGGAAATAGAATTATTGTTGCAAAAGAAAACAAAGATAGTACCAATAGTAACAGATGCCTTAGGTGCAAAGCAATCCCAAAACAGCTGGAGCACTACTTGAACAGCAGCATTGACAAATTCACCATCGATCAATTGCAAAAGGCAGTTTTACTCGGAACAGCTTACATTCTGTGACAATACCTCTAATACCATCAAGCATCCAAATTTGCCTACTCCAGGCTCTTGGGAAGGACCGGATAGGAGGACAAAAGTGCCAAATCCAGTCTGAACATCTGACTGACTATGCAATGAAGCATAAATAAAACTCCTCAGATCAGTCCAGAAGGCTCGTCATTATCAGGAAATCAACCTCAGCTGTATTTTCTGGAAAATATTAGTTTGGAATGTGGTACATTTCAAATACACTTTTGCAGATAAATGAATGAAATAAAATGGGTAATTTACTGTCATCCCTTTGGATCTTTCACAGACAGATGCCCTAGTTAGATGCACTCTCTTCAGCTTCCATGAATCATACTTTCTTCTATTTATCTTTTCTATATGTAATTGTTCCCTTTGTGTTGGAGTGTGTCTGTGCTGCTATGTTGGCAGTTCTTTCTTTAGCATTACAATTAATCCCTCTGGCCAAAAGTTTAAGGAAGAGCCTCACTAGACCAGTCTGGAAGCCTGGGCTTCCCCTGATATGTAAGCAGGATATAATCCCAACTCCAGGAAGTAAATGCCAAGCCGGAAAACAAAGAAATTTATTTTCTCCTTCTTAAGGGTATATATAAAACCTTTGAAGGAGCAGCAGAGGCTTTTGAGCAATAACTAACAATCTATAGGTTCCAAGTTTCAGATGCAGCTCTGGCCTTGTCTGAACTGAGTTAGGAAGCCATTCCTACCTTTATAACGGGGCAAGCTATTGCTGCTGCATTTGAGGATCCGTGTGGCTCGCCCGTGCGGCTGAGGGAGAGCAAAGCCTGAGGCAGGCAGGGCAGGCTTCGGCCTAGTTTTCTAGCCTGAAACGGTTCAGACCGAGGCTCTCTAAAATCACAGCAAAGCGCTACGGAAGGAAGTCTCTGCTGCGCGCCCTCCAGCGGTGCTCCAGGGTTTTGCATTCCCCCGATCTGGTCCTAATTCCTTCCAACCCCGGATACATCCAGAATACTGAATTGCTCCCCGTTTCGTTTCGTTTTTTTCTCCGAAGCAACTTGTCAGGAAGGACTTTGGAGGCCATTGAGAACAAGACCTAGTTATAAACCCAGTACCGGGAAGGAAAAGATGGAGGCCCTTGCCTTGCCCCTAAAAGTCACCTCGCTTGCTGCTTCCCAGGACCTGTCAAAGCGCCTTTCCTTGCGATCCACCAGCACCTGATCTCTCCCCCCCCCCCGCCCCGCTTCTCGTGCTCCTTGCCAGGCTCGGCCCT